GGGGGGGGGGGGGGGGGGGGGGGGGGGGGGGGGGGGCGTAATCTTGTTCTTGCAGACCTTCGTTGTTAGGCCATCGACCATAAGTCCTCGAGAGAACGAAGCATTCTTCTGACAGGCCCGCTCACCGATGGCCAACCGTTCCTTCCTACCTTGCCAAACGTGGCTGAAAATACTTTCCCTAGCCTATGGGGGGGGGTAGGGGTTCCGTGAGAAATGGTCTCATCTGAGGAGAATTGATAGGTCGCTGTCCGGAGGCTGAAGCGGACTTCCCGTGCAGACGGGCCTCTCTTCTGACATATGATTGTGGGAGCAGGGTGGATGTCTTACGTGAATGTCAAGCTTGACGCCGTGAGATGAACCAAACAATAGCACATCTCCACCTGCATGCTCTTGTTGGTGATTGTGGCGAGATTTAGGTAGAGTTAAAACAGACCGGTCGTTGTTCCGAGCATTGCGAGGACAACCGTCCGAATGATAATTTTCCCTTCTGGGAGAGAAAAAACTCGGGAAACAAAAACGATGATTGTGTGCAAGGCATGGTCACCTGATACGAGCTCGCCGACCGCGGATAGGCGGAAGAGGCGGAGGCCGGCGACTTGCGCTTGTGAGGACCCCTAGGCGTCGCCGTCGACTTCTTTTCCAAGAAAACATGGGAGCGAAAACAAAGTGGCGGGGGTAGGGACGCCGAGGGGGCACAAAAAAAGGCACTGAATGTTGTCATGTTTTCACGGGACTAGATCGAACGAGAGAGAGAGAGAATCCAACACAACTCGTGGGGGTTCAAGCAGAAAAGAGTAGGAGATAAGAAAAAAAGAAAACGCACACACACAGGTTCAAGTCAACAATCTCAAAACAAAAACACCAAAAACACCTGACAGGCACAACAACAACACACCTGCGGAGCACCGCCAGCAGCAGCAGCAGCAGCAGCATGTCCCCTCCGCCTCCTTCCGCCCGCAGGGAACACCTTCCGGCCACGACCACCACCATCACCGTCATCTTCGACAAGCTCTATCTCGTCGTCCACTACCGAGGTCCTTGCTGACCTCCCTCTAGCACTCCTCGGCGCCCTACCGGCCCCCCCGCCCCCCCTCCTCGCTNGGGGGGGGGGGGGGGGGGGGGGGGGGGGGGGGGGGGGGGGGGGGGGGGGGGGGGGGGGGGGGGGGGGGGGGGGGGGGGGGGGCGAGGAGCCGGCCACCCTGCCTCCGGCGAAGGTTGGCCTCCAGTCGATGAGCTTGTGTCCCTCCCTGAGAGAAAAACAATGACAAAAAACGTCAACAGCGAGCGAAGAACAAAAAGGGGGAGGGACAAAAAAAAAGAAAGAAGGAAGAGGCAAAGGCGGCCAAATCGGAGGCTAATAGGCTCAACGCAAGATTTCCACAAGAGTCAAAGACAACGAAAAAGGAGGCTCATCACCCTCAACGCAAGTTCAGAGAAGGCGTGTACATTGCCTAGCTATATAATTCGACAAAAAACTCCACTACGATGGTTGATCCGAAAGGTCGTCTTCGTCCGATAAAAACTTCTTGGAATGTGGATTGGGTACCATAACGATCTGGTGAACCGATATCGTCCTACGATATATTGCGCAAGATCGGGCCGGGACAACCTACAGCGATCTACCCACCGAAAGTAGTTCTTGTTGACAATTGCTCACAGCGGTTGCTGCTGCTGCTGCTGCTGCTGCTGCTGCTGCTGCTGTTGTTGTTTTTGTGGTTGTTGCCTTGACGCTTTAAAGCGGTTCCAACCTTACCTCGACTATCCCCAACCCCAAAACCGCACAGACACCCCGGCTACATCCGCACGGCGTCCAACGCGCATGTCTTTTTTCGCACCTGAGGCAGGACTTGATGTTGAGACACATGCGGCACGCCGTCTGAAAGATAATCTCCTCGTCGAACTCCAGGTAGTCCTCGTTCGTCTCGTGGTCGTGGAGCTTGTAGATGGTGATGGCCTGGCGTGGGGTAGGGTACAGGGGACGGTATAGCCGGAAAGAGGGCAAGCTGAGAAGGCGCGAGAGTTGCGTCAAAGTCAAAGGGGGGCCGCTGCAAATCAAAGTTGCCTCAGCAAGCTTTTACGTAGAAAAATCGGCTTCGTGGGAGGCCTACACCCGGCACACCCCGTGTAGTCATGAGAATAGCCTACGCATCAAAGCCAGGGGACGGCAAGAACACAGCTGCCTCAGCAAGCTTGAACGTACAAAACATGGCCATTGTAAAAGCCATACACCTGGGCTGTACATTTTCAAGGCGGTCACTTCGAGGATCTCGGACACGAAAAGAACGAGGAAGCAGCACCAACTTTGACAGCAGCGAAATAACAAAAATCGACCAAGCTGCGGCCCGGGAACCGGGGCAAGCTTTGAAAAACGACCACAGTGTGGGGGGCTGTTCGGAGCCGGTGCATGTGCCCAAAGAATGGACCGGCACAATACCAGACACCGGCATTATACCGGAAACCGGGACTATACGGGACACCGGCACTATGCCGGACACCGGCACTATTCAAAGCACGGCAAATGACTTGGTAGTTCGGTGCGTGCCCGCCGAAAATGCCGGCACAATAAAACAGGCAACCGGTGCAAAAAAGTCCCCTCCATTGTGCCATGTTGCTCTACAGCAGCAGCGCAGCAAAGTGCTGATGGGGACAGTGTATGCAAGGGTATGTCGAGGGGGCGGTGGGTAGGCTTGCTCCACGAATAGCAGTAGCCCAGGTTCTCGTGGTCGAAAGGTCTAGGGTGCTTGAGCTGCGACGCCCCAGCCGGAGCACCCAGCGCCGAGCGGGTGAAAAAACTCGACCCACACGAAGAGACAAAATGGCCACCCCCGACGAGCTCCACACGGAACTGCAACAACACAAACAAGCTGTGTAAGAGAACCGAACCGGAAAAAGCCGAGCCACGACAAAAGAAAAAAAAAAGAGCCGCAGCCCCAACGAGCTAGCTCTCTAAACGCGGACGACAAGACCAAAAAATATCCAGCCCAGACTAGCTCTGTAAGCGCGGAAATGCTTCAAGAAAAGGCTGTTAGTATAACCGGCACAACAACACAATAAACCAGCCCCGACGAGCGCACTCTCAAAACGCAAACTTCTTCAAGACAACGCTGAAAGAGAAGACGGCTATATTACGATAAAATAGCCAGCCCTGAGCTAAAAAAAACTGCTTCAAAACCAAGCTGCTAAGGAGAACATGAAACGTGGAAATCAAACGACGAGTTACTAACCTGGTCCGGCTTGACGCACTGTCGGTGGCTATTCGTCAGCTCGTCCTCACGGACCGTGGACATCCTGGGGTTGTGCCTCCTTGACATGCACTTCTTCCAGCTCCCCTGCGAGGGCGCCGCCGCCGCCGCAGTCGAAAGCAGAAAGAGAGGAAGATAAATACGCAGTCGAGAGCAGAACGAAGAAAGAAAGAGAAACGACCAGGAGCGGTCGAAAAACTAATACTCCGCTGTGGAAATCGTAAAAAATGCTGTGGCTACATCACGAACGGGTTCCAAGTCTTTTCTGCGATTACATGTGTCTTTCTAAACAGCAAGGGGAGCAGAGACGCAATAAGCCCATCGAAAGGAGCTCAGGCAACCAGCACAAGCACAATCGTCTATACATATTTCGGGTGGCCACAATAATACTCGTACGGTGTTGCCGCAGTCAACCCTGAGAAGCCATCGATCGGGTCTGTAAAACAACCGGCCTTCCCGGTGTCCTTCGTTTCGCGATGGTGATGGTGTCACGTATAGTGCAAACGCCACGCAAAGACTGCCGTCGAAGGGAGCGGACAGCAGTCGTCCCTCATTGCCTAGGCAGTGGAGCGATGCCGTGCGTTTCGCGTTGATGGCTCGTACACGTTCAATCCGAACCCGTAACATGCGTTACACAAAAAATGAAGGCAACCTCGCTGTCGTTCGTGCGGTCTTCGTTGTTTCAAATTTTCAAACAAAGGGTCTTGTGAAGAAAGAGTACGGTTTCGAAGGGCCTCCCGTCTAGCCAAGGGCCACCCTCTTGATATGTAGGTATGTACCGTCGCGATCTCCATCCTGGACGATTGACGAACGTTTTTGTGTTTCGCTCTCATCACTTCAAATTAGTGCACAGAGCATTCCTGCCGGGTAGTTAGGAGCTCCAGGCCGTGGTCACACACGAGCGTTCTCTCCCTGAGTCACCCCTTCCCACCCCTCCTGCCTTTGAAAAGAGCGACGCTAAGATGGAAATAACCAGACCCTGAAGACTTGAACAAAGCAAAAGCACTGGTACTGCTGTATAGTACATACCACATGGAAAAGTGTGTTTGTGGGCCCCTCCCCTGGTAACACTTTGTAGCCGGGTCCACGCGACACAACGCCGGGGCGTTGTCCTTCACCCCGCCGTCAATAATACTTCGAAAAAAACTTCCTAGCTGGTGGTGTCTTTCGTCCATGAATAGGAAGCGGGCGCTGCTTGACTGTGTTTGAACTTACAGGGCTAGTCTAAAACTGATATTTTTGGAAGCAGCTCGCCCATAGCGCCATTTCAAAAGTACGCCCCATTGTGACGTGAGGATAGACCAACACCATGCGATAAGATTTGCAGTCCTAACGCCGGGCTTCATAAGCAAGTGCGCGAATCCGGCCATACAACAACTGTACTCCAGCATATGCTGCTGATCAACGTGCTCGATTTTGTTTTTGGACGATTGTCCGACGAGTGCGTGTGCAAGAGGGGGATGGGAGGGTTTGACGATGAATTTGACCGCTGCTGCTGACCGGCCTAGCGCATCGTGTCGGCGCACAACAACAACATTAGGCCGACTACCTTCACGGGCCAGACCTCTTGGGCAGGCTCGCGTACATATTGGTTGGGAAAGGGTGAGATGATACGGTGTTGGCGTTGAACCTCGACGGCTGCCACGGCCGGCGTTATGTTTATTTATGTATTTAGAGGGAAAAAAGGTGTATCATTGCTCGATCGAGGGACTCGGAGGCAGCAGTTCGAGTCTCAACATGACAACCCTCCCCATCGACATCTCGGTATAGGCAGGAGCGAGCAACAAGTGAAGTTCATCTCTCCCCCCTCTTCTACGTTTGTGTGGTCGCTACTGCTGCTGTATGTTGTCGAGCGGAAGCGAGGCAGAGCCGGGGTACAATCGACGAGGCAGCAGGCACAATCGGGCAGCCGGTCAGCTTGTCCGCTTTGAAAAGTGTGACACGCATAAACTACTACGAAAGGTAGCAGTGTACATGGCGTCCTTTACGCCATTCGCACCGAAAGAACACCCTAATTGTCGTTGTCTTCTGCCTCAGTAGTGCGAGCACGTTAGGCTACTACTGTGTGTCGGTAGAGAGGAGTGCCGAGATATGATAAAGGGATCGATCAGTCTCCTCGAGCTGCCTGCCTGTCCGGTGTGTGCCCGATTCTCGCCCTCGGCACGAAAGGCTCATTCTTCGAAACGTGTATTCGACAGGTAACGCGACGAGAGGTAAACGCGACCCAATCGTAACCGCGTTGACCGTCGACACCATTCGAAGTCGACTTCTGCACAGAACTACAGGTTGATCTTACCCTGCTGGTGGGTACGGCCTATGCCACCACAACAACGAAAACAGGCGCCGTGGGTGTGCGTGCCAGCAGAGTAGACACGGTGAGACAGCATGTCAAAGGGCAAACAGACAAACACGGTGGGCGTACAAGGGTTAACCGTGTGAGCCTCTCTCACACACCTTGTTGTGACTGCAGCCGTTGCACATCTTGAGCATGAGGAACAAGCCATCCTGGTCCATCGTTCTCCTCACGGCGGTGGTACCCAAAACTACTACGGGGTCAGACAAGAAGGAAGGTTGTGTTCGTCGAAAGGTGCTGTGGTATATTTCTTTTGAATGCGGACCCCTCCGGCCAGTTTATTTGAGTGTACCCTTTTAGGGTAAGTTACACTGCTGTGTGTTTTCGTCCTATTTATTACCAGGCGACAGTCCCCCCATTTTTCGTGGTGAGACGTGTACTACACCTTTCCGCGCATGTAGAGTACCACACTTTTCAGTGTATTTTTCGTCCAACTACAACCATCCAGGGTCACACAGGAGGAGGGTAAACACCAGGGCTTTTTTCTTCTTTTTATTTCTTTTCATGCCCCACCTTCCTCCTGCGGTGCGTGCTGAATTTATTTTTATCGCGAGAAGGCTCCAGCCATCCCTTTCCGTCGTCAACCGTGCTAACGTCGAAGTTCAAGTTTGGTACTCACGAGAACTTCTTAGCTATATTTCGCTTTCACCCGCAAATTTCGTCAATTTTTCACCCCATGGGGATTCGGACTCACGACCTCTGCGACTAGCGGATTACGAGGATACCACTAGACCACCGGGGCGACCGGGGCTCTGCGACAACGGGAATCGACCGCCTCAAGTGTTGGATCACAACGGACAAACGCAGGTACTGGGTAGAGAGAGATCGGAACGGTTTTTTATGTGAAGACGACAACAATAACAACAACAATAGGAACTGGTTCTCTCAGCTATTAAAAAAAAATAGCGGCGCGATCATTTTTTTTATTGCAGGGGTGTTCCGCGGTAAAGACGAATAGTTTCCACGAGTTTTTCAATGAGCAGCAAGAAATGATTCCCAACCTTTGAAAATTTGTACCAACATCCGTTAGGCCTCGTGGATCACGAAAATATACTTATTTTCCCATTTGGATGTCGTGGTGATGACATATTGATGAATGAGTGGCCAAAATTGGGTGAAAATCGCGTCTGCGGGCCCCCCGAGCAAGATGCAAACGCCTCCGAATCGTATAAATTTTTCAGATTAGGCTAATGTTGTGTTGTACATCAAGAATCCGCCGTCAGAATTTCGATCAGGATCGATGCGGCCGTGATACAGCTACGCACTAATATATATGCGCGAAAGCAGGGATAACCTGGAATTACTAGGAATTACACCGAAATATTCCCCTTCCCGCAACACTCTCCACATGTTGATTCAATCTCTCCTGACTTCGAATTAGGGTTATTTTGGGGTGGGGATCACAAATGTATTGTTGGAATGTCCCAGTTTTGATTTGCAATGGACTTTCAGCTGCTCAAAAGCTGACAGTAGCTGAGCAATTTCAAAATTCCTGGGATTTTGGATTCTCGGTTCCCACGTCGAGTTTTTGTCTGATCAACTTTCTGAGTGGCTCTACCCCCCCTAAATCGGCCAAGCGGAATCGATTGCCGAGGTGAAATGGAGGCGCCGAAATCGGCAACGCGGTGAAAAAAAACAATCAAGGCGATCCAGTCACATTTTTTTTTGTTTCTCGTTTTTTTATGCTTCTAAACGTCGTTTTAGAGGTGTATCCAAAAGCGGTTTTTCATTTGAGTTTTTCCTCGCCGCGGGAGAGACAATTCGTCTTTACCGCGGAACACCCCTGATGTCCTCCCTGGACCCTCGTCGCCTGCTGCGCGTTTTTCTCGCTTCGGCGCATGTACAGCAGTATACCCGATCCATCATTGCCATGCCGTTGCTTCGTTCAATGCATCTCTGTCTGTATGGGTAGCTGTCCAGCATTATTTCGCCGTGGTCTGGAGTATCCACTGCTCCTTGATACAGCAGTGCTGTCTCTGCTACCGGCGTATTTTTCTCGAACGTTCGAAAGCAACACAGCTCAAGCAACATGCTGTATGTGCGAGTCATGTGCGATCATCCGCGGTGGTCGTATTCGTACCAGAAGGTAGACTAGACTACCACCACTGCTGTTTTTTTTGCTTGTTTTTTTCCCATCTTTGGATTCTGTCGTCTGCCCTTCTGGCCCCTATCCTCCACTTCTACCAGCTAGACGACCCAACCGGGTCACATAGGAGGGGGGGGTTGGACCCCCTCCTGCGGTTCCTGCCTGAGATATTTTTATCGCGAGAAGGGTACAGCAATCCCTTCCGTCGCGACTTATGAAGTCGATCAAGTTTACTAACAACGAGCTTTACAGCGCGTCGCTTCCAACGGAGAGACCAGGATTTAATTAGCGAGAAAAAACTCACTCTGTCGGGACTCGAACCCATGACCTGGCCCTTAGCAGGCTACGAGGCTAGTCTACCCACTAGACCACCGGAGAGACCGGTGTATGTATCTATGTATGCAGGCCTTGCGTTTCAGACCGCTGAGCTCCGATCCGCGGGCCCAAAACGGAAAGAGGCGGTCCATAGAGAGAGTCTGTCCGCGTGTGGGTAAGAGATTACAGGGGAAAGTATGGTACAACATGACGCTTGAAAACCGACAGCACGAAACAGCTATCCGCGCCCCCTGATGGATTTGATCCCGACCCAAATGCCGGACCCTGCAGTACATATTTTAACCGGACCCTGCAGCAAGTCTATGTAGCTGTTATTACCCGCCGAGGAAAAAAACCCGAGGCTTGTACTGCTGTACAAGGGGCGGAACATCGACATTTAATTCCCATATCTGCTGATGCTCTGTGCTGAATGTATGTTCTGGTTGGGGCTGCTACGCCACTTTGCCGCCCTGCGCTAGGTGTACTCTTCTCGGGGTAGGGGAGGATTGTTGCTGTTGTTGTTGTCTTCACATTTAAAACCGTTCCGATCTCTCTCTACCCAGTACCTTCGTACGTCCGTACTGATCCAACACTCGACGCGGTCGATTCCCGTGGTCGCAGGCTAACTTACCCTAAAAAGGTACACTCAAACAAAATGGCCCCGACGGGTCCGCAGGTCAATAGAAATCAACGCCAGATATTCTGGAGTCCTCCACTCCCTCTGCGCGCTATGCGAGGTAACAACTGAGACTAGGAGTCACCATCACGGGCCGGAGAGAATGAGGTACACCCCCTTGATTCAATCTTGGTACTTGACAACGCAAGCAGAAACAAGGCCATCTGGCACAGAAAAAGATAGAAAAGAGAAAAGAGAAAAAGAGAAGAAAATAAAAGAAAACAGTAAGGAAAGAGAAAAACAAATAAAAAGAGCGAGGACAAAAAGGGACCAGGCCGAAAATAACAAGAAATAAGAGACAGAAAAAGGCACACGGTGGAGAGACCACTAACGACAAGCAAACACGCAAACATGGCCACCAACCAGCGATACATTGTAATGGTACGCCATCACTAGTGGGGGGTTGGTGCAATG